TAAAATCTAACCCTAACCCCCTCCCTTTCCTAACCCTAACCCCAACCCCTTTCTTAAACCCTATCCCCCCTTCCCTTCCCTAAAACCTAACCCTAACCCCTCCCTTTCCCTAACCCTAACCTCTCCTTCAACCCATTTTAGGTTCCATTCTACCATGGACAGCTCCCTTTTGGAACTGCTGGAAAAAAGGAGTGAGGCATTTCTTGTCCAATGGCTCCCTCTCCTGACAAAAAATGGTATTGACAGAAAGGATTAATAAACTTACCTGTTATTTTACCGGTATTTTGTTAACCCTTCTCCTCCTACTATTTCACTTCACCCCCTCCCCTTCCCCTCCTTACCTTCCATCTCCCTCTACTTACCTTAATAGGATCCACAGGGGGGCACCAGACCTCCGATTGTCAAAACCTGTAAAAAAGAAAAGAAGTTCAATTGCATGGGTTTCCTTCCTCCTGCTTTTATTCCAGGATGAAGGATTGTACATCTTACCTGCTAATTCCATGTTACCCTAAATCAGGGAAAAGGAAGAAAGACTCTTCCTGATCCTGGAAGATCTTACTGATCCTTGGTTTTACTTACCTGTAGGACTTAACATGACTTTTTCCTCCTTCTCTAAGGAACAATGTCAAACTGGATGGACTCGAATCTGGGACCCTCTTCCTCTATTGGGTCCTCCTCCACTACTCCTCCTCCTCTTCCTCCTCCCTCTCCTCTCCTTTTTAGTTCTTTTTTTCCTCCCCCTCCTTTTTTTTCTTTTTTTCTTTTTTTCTTTTTCTTTCTTACTGCTCATCTCTAGGTGCCATGACGCACTGTACCTGATGGGGGGCGCACTCTCTGCACCGGATGTCCGGGCGCCACCTGTGATTGTGGGGGCGTGGAACCGGTGGACGGGACCGGAACCCCGCCCCAAACATTTCCAGCCCGACCAGCTGACAGCACTTAAAAGCCTCAGATGCGGGACGCCTGGCGGAGAGAGAGCAGCCCACGCATGGACTCTCTCTGCTCAATTTTTTCCGCCTGATGAAGACCCACACCTGGGTCGAAACGTTGCGGATTCAAGCTTGATTTTAACTTTCTAATGTATTTTACTAAAATAAAAAGTACTTTTCTATGAGCAGAGAGTTTTTCGATCATTTTTTAAAAACCCCCCTTTTCTTTTCTTTTCTTTTTTGGCCCGAGTTTGGCCAAATTTTATTTTTTCGTTTTTATTTTATTTAAACCCGTACCCTAAAACCCCAACCCGTTCCTGTCAACCACCCACCTGCATGGAGGAGGAGGGAGAACGCCCCTGGACGACGGTTCGACGTCAAAGGGGGCGCGGGACCCAGTACCAGGCAGAACCCAGACTTCGCTTTGGTGGGGAAACTCCGTGGCCCCAAAGACCGAGGGGCCCCTCGTATGCCGAAGTTACAGCCGGCATCCGGCGTCCCCCTCCACCTTCCTTTCGGCGCGGCGAAATGGAGGACCGGAGGGGTCAGCGGAACCGAAGCAGAGGCCGAAATGGACCGGGTCAATTTCGGTACCCCCGCTCTGAATATAACTCTAATTTTAACCAACAGGATGAGATGAACAGACCTGTCCACCCAGTTATTGACTCTCAGGACCCGAATTTTGCTATTAAGGTGAGAATCATCCATGGTATAATTAGATCGATCCATCATTCTCAGAATGTCCGCGGGAGGGAGACACCTCCTACAATAAAAAGAATGACGATTAATTTAGCCACATTCATTAAGCCTGCCGCTCCAAACGAACAGACTCAATTACTCTTGGAGGGCAGTGCACGCTATTGGGAAATGACAACTATTCAGATTTTACAACAACATTATGAGGATGTGATGATGGACTTGATTCAGAGACTATCAGAAATGCCTGATTTTGGATGGTCAGATCCTTTTGAAATAGCGGTGATCTGGGCTAGGAGGAGACTAGGCCACCGTCTTAAAATGGAGGCCATTCGAGAGGCTCAGAAATTTATTGAAGATAATCTCATACAACAGAATGAAAGACAACGGACCTACCTTGTTGGCGCACGGAGAACGACGGGACCCCAGGCTGAACGGGAGCCGGCAGGAACATCCCAGGAGCTGAGACAGACGCACGTCACTTTGCAACCGCAGGTGGGTCGGAACCGGCCTGTATCACCAGGCCCGCTGAACATGACCCAAGACCCGCTAGAGGGCCCCTCTACGCTGCTTGATGACAGGCAACCGGAGTGGATGAGTCGACCCAGAACTGCAGAATCACAACCACAACGCAAACGGACCCGAACCGGATTGGCACGGAGCCCGGGACCGGCCCTCTCTTGGACTGCGGTGCCCACAGCCCCGGTCCAAATGGACTTTTCTAAGGTAAAGGAAACATCGGGGGCTGCAACCTTTACCTTTTCGGGGTTGGGAGAGGTGGGACGGACTCAGCTGGCTCTCAGCCCGATCCACCCCTCCACGAGAAAAAAGACTTTTTCCACTAACCTGGGACCCATAGGCAGACGGAGCACTAGCTTCAACCAACCAACAGCGGCAGCGGACCTGATGGCGGCGACCAGGATGAACACCTCGGCTCCAGCGCTCCAGACAACAGCAGCAGGAGTGACAGCGGCAGCAGCATCGGAGCATGACAGCTCACAGGAATCTGGTAGCGCAACAAATACAGTAACATCACATATTCGTACGAAGAGGAAGGCAGAGGACTGGTCCCTCTGCGTGCGTAAAAGCCACCTCATCCTTGGTGACTCCAATTTGGCCCGGATCCCACCTTTCCGGGCCATGGATTTACAGGTGGAATCCTTTCCTGGGGCCACATTTGCACATCTCATCTCACTCATGGAAAACACCAGAGTCGAGACGAATGTGAAGATAATCATCCTTTCTTTCGGAATTAATTATAGAAATCGGAAATACATCTCTCCAATAAAGAAACAAATAGAGGAGGCAGTAGGTGCGGTCCGGAAGAGATTTCCCGGTGCCGCAGTTTACATTCCGGAGATTTCGTTCTCCCCCACTATTCCTTGGCAACAAAAACAGATGTTGACTGCATTGAATTCTTTCATTAACAATTATGATTTTATTCCAGCTCTCCCGAGCCAGGATTTTAAAACGAAGATCGATAAGGTTCATTGGACTTCCACAACAGCAAAACTGATGCTACGACACTGGATTAAGAAGGTAAAATAGAGAGCCCCACTAGCTGCAACATGCAGGGGGGCTTTGTAAATGTGATGGTTTTAGCTAAAAAGAGCAAATTAACAACATCAGAACTATCTGTCCTAAACAGGGGCCTCAATTTCATCCCAACCCAGAATTGCAATCAAAATGTCAAACAACAACTCAGACTTGATTTGCAAAACTATCATAGAAAATTAAAACTAACCTGGCATTTCCAGCATAAAACCGAGAAGCCCAAGGAACCTTTTTATCCTTCTTCGACCTGGTTTCCTCCAGATGGAACTCTTCCTCCATTCTTATTGGATAATATCCGTCAGGAACTCGATTTTTTAGACACGGACTTTCAAATCAGACCCATTAACCCAAATATTAGTTTGGAGGAAAGCACAGCATTGGAAACGCTCCGCAATAATCCAGACATTATTATAAAACCGGCTGATAAGGGCAGCCTAACGGTTGTAATGGACCGAGATCAATATATCTTTGAAGGTAATAGACAACTTATGAATACAAATTATTATAAAAAATTAACACGGCCATTATATTTAGAAACTTTCAAATTAATTACCAACATTTTCAATCTGTTATATGAAAGAAAATGCATTAGTTTTAAACAGAGGAAATACCTTCTGGGGGAGGAAGAACCGAGACCCAGGAGATTCTACCTGCTGCCAAAAGTCCACAAGGAGCCAACCAAATGGACCGTCCCGTTTTTAATCCCGGCTGGAAGACCCATCATCTCCGATTGCGGCAGTGAGTCCTATCGTTCTGCAGAATTCATAGACTTTTACATTAATCCACTCGCCAAGATCCATCCTAGCTACATCAAAGACACTTATGATTTTATAGAAAAGATACGACACCTCCATCTGAAAAAAGATTGCTTCCTATTCTCAATTGACGTTGAAAGCTTATACACAAATATAGAGATCCCTGAAGGCATCCAGGCCATTAAAGACATCTTTCAAAAACATCCGGATCCTGGTAGGCCTGATGACGAAATTATACAACTTTTGGGCATCAACTTGTTGAGAAATGACTTTGTTTTTAACCAGGAGACATTCTTACAGATTAAAGGAACTGCCATGGGCAAAAAATTTGCCCCATCTTATGCGGACATTTTCATGGCGAAATGGGAGGAAGAAGCCTTGCGAAAATGCGACCAAAAACCTTCACACTATTATCGTTACCTGGATGACATCTGGGGCATCTGGGACGGCACAGGTGGGGAGTTTCAGGTATTCTTCAACACCCTTAATAATCATAATCCCTCTATAAAGTTGCAATTTACCATTAACTCATTTTTTGTTAATTTTTTAGATACGACCGTTTTCAAGGGTCCCGATTTTAATAATACAGCACATCTGGACATCAAAGTCTATTTCAAAGAGACGGACACTCATGCACTCTTGCATAAGACAAGTTTCCATCCGGCCCATACCTTTAAAGGTTTAATCAAATCTCAATTACTAAGATTCCATCGAATTTGCACACGACCAGAGGATTTTAGAGTGGCCACCAAAACCTTATTTAAGGCCCTTTTGGAGCGGGGCTATACCTACTCCTTTCTTAGAGCTTGTTTTAAAACCTTTTTGGAGACTAAAACAAGGTCTGGAACTGTTCTCCCTCTGGTTACCACTTATTCAACTTCTACAGTGGACTTTAATCATTTTATTAAAAACAATTTTGCAGAAAAGATCCAGACCAATGAAGCTTACCAAGATGTCCGGATAATTGCTGCATTCAGAAAGAATCGGAACCTGAAGGACCACCTGGTACGAGCAATTATTCCTAGGCTGTATCCCACTAAACGAGAAATCGAACATGACTATTTCAAACAACTAAGATGGATTAAAAACGACCAAACGGGGGTAATACATCAACTTCCCACCTGTGCCAGTATAGATACATCCAATTGTGTTTATGTGATTGTGTGCAAACGTTGTAAGGCTAAATATGTTGGGGAAACAGGCCGCACTATTCGTGCTAGATTTTATTCCCACAAAAATAACATCTGTAATAGCAAAAACACACACACACATCTGGTTCAACATTTTTTATTGCATGGATGGCAGGCTGTCAGAGCCTCGGTTCTTCAATGTAACCCAAATTGGACTATAAGAGAGAGAAAGAGACAGGAAAGAGTCTGGATCAAGGCCCTTAATACAGCATCATCTGGTGGCCTCAATGAACGGGGAAGTTTTTCCTAATTTCTTTCATAATTTGTTTATTAGGACTTTATTTTTATTATTATTTTGTCAGTTTAAATATTATTTATGATGTTATTGTTTTTCATTTCCATTTTATATTGTTTATACAATTTTCTATTTCTTTGTAAATTATTTTTGAGTTTGGTATTTTTATCTTTAGACTTCCTGAGTTCAAACATAATTTTACTTTTTGGAGCTTTTACTTTTTCGTTCCTGTTATTTTTCAGGGAGAATGGGCTTAATCTAATTTTGAGCTTTTATTTTATCATCTACAGGAAATCGCTCCGGAAGGCGAGTGCAGGGGTTGCGCTGAATTCAGCACAACCCATTCCTTTTTGCCTAACCCTAACCCTAACCCTGACCCTGACCCTGACCCTGACCCTAACCCTAACCCTAACCCTAACCCTTTCAAAAATGTCCATTAAAACCAAAGATCTTTCTAAGATATATTGAT